AAAGGCTCTTCACCCAATTTATTTTCTGCAAAGACTCGATGAGAGAATGATTTCCCTCTCAAACCCCAGCCGGGAAAATATCCAGATCTTTTGTGAATCCTCATCCTCCCTGGATAATTCTATCTGAATAATTAATTCTATCTCGGGAAGCTTATCTTCTGAGTTCGTTTGAAACGCTCCAAGCAGACTATCTGAACGTCAGGTTGTCCCTTGAAGTCGTGAGTAATGAATTAGGTTAAAAAAAATCCTGCCAGGAAAATGCTAAGGACCCGACACTCAACAAAACTGAATGAAGTCATTCAAAGTCATTTTGGAAGGAAAACGTTTTAAACATCATTTCACAGAAATAGAAATTTCAAACACTGAATTCAGTTGGTCGGAGTTTCATTGCCCTCAGTGCAATGGGCTGTCTCCCCTTGCCGGGGCGTGAGGTTGAGTGGGGACAGTTCCCCCAATGTGTGGCAGGTCTGTGACCCGCAGGACAGGTAAGTGTGCAGATGGCGGCACTGGCATGCGTGAATATTCATGAGCTGCCATTAACTAGTCCCTGAGTTGATTTCTGTACACAAGGGCAAAGCGTGTGGTTTTCAAAAATCGGCCTGTCCCCTTCCTCCCAGGGTCACACTGCAGACGAGGTGACACTTAAAGTCACTGGCAAACGCAGGTGCTTTCTAACAGTGCACGCAGACGGCGCTTCCCACTTTCTGCCACGAGGGGGCCTCTCCCCACACCCCGCAGGACACCTGTGGCCTCCTCTTTGGAGCAGAGGCAGCAGCCCAGGATTCACCCCGATTTGTCACACTTTTCCTCCATCGGAATCTTCTTAGGGCCTGGATAAGCCCCACGAGCAGGATGTCAGGTCGGGCTCCTCAAAACATGGTTGCTATTCAAATGCCACATGCGTGAGACCAGACTCTGCAGAGCTCGCCTCTCACACAGGCTCCGGTGTGTTCTCCCGCCCAGGGCTGAATGCCCACAGCCCCTTCATGTCCGGCTTCCTCAGGTACAGGAAGCTTCCTTCCTGGGAGTTCTTTCATCATGATGGTGCCAGTTTGAACAGGAACAGGTTCTCTCATCAGGGCCCGGGCCAGTCCTTGGCCATCTCTCCTGGAGGCCACCCCACCTTCGCATGCAGAGATCACAGGAAGGTCCCAAAGGGGTGCCCCGGCTCTCTGGGCCCAGTGCCCGCCCAGGTGCCTCTGTGTGGACGTCTGGCCCATCTGACGCTGTGCTCAGCCTGCCCACAGGGACGGCAGAAGCAGAGTGTTGCTCCGGTGGGTCAGTTAAGTGGGGAGACGCTGGGACTTCCCAGTGACAAATGAGCGTAACAAGAGCCATGGGAAGGTGGCCTTTGGGCAGGTCCTAGTGATATAGGGGGAAGCGTTGTAAATCCCAAACCTACTAGATATCTGAACCAAGAGTTCCTGTCTAACACGGAAAATGAATTTTAGGAACAATGAGGTTAAGAATAGGAAAAATCTATTGTGAGAAAGATTTCTTCTAAGAGAGACAGAAGGGAGACCGGAAAGTGGGCTGCCCACCCACCCCACTTCTCAAAGATGTTTTACACAGCCAAGCCATGCGGTTAGGCGGGTACAAAGTAGGACAAAACTGTAAGACCCAATGGGAATTTACAAGGTGGGCATGAGGAGGGGCAAAAACATGACCAACCAATAAGATTACAAGTACCGTCACTCGGTTAATATTAAGTGGGGGTCAAGTGGGGGAGCAAGTCACGTATCAAGTGTACAAGGATTTTCAGTAAGGGTGGGGAGGTCAGGGGTATTTCCTGGAAAGGCTGGGCTAAGACCGTGGCCCCCACCCAGGGGATAGAAACCTATTTAGAATATCAATCACTGCTCTTTTTGCCCAGGGAAGAAGCACAAAGGTGTAGTGCTTTCTCTCTTTACAACTCTGGCCTTCAGTGAAAAGTGTCTCTATTGTCCTCCCTGTAGGCTCCGCCCAGAGGGGGCCTGGTCTAACTGCCTACAAGATAACTAATTGACTTACCTATCTGCAATCCTGGAAGACTCCAAATCTGCTCAGCTGGGAGCTGAATTAGGGGGAAGGGGAGTCCCGAACTCCACAACCCGTGCCTCATGAAAAGCAAGCCTGTACTTGTCAGGTGACCCTTTCAGCCGGCCCTCACAAGGCAGAGCCAAGGCCTCCAAAACAAAACAAAACAAAAAACAAACCTAGGATCTGAAGGTGAGGAAGTACAAGCAGGAGTGGAGTGTTCTCAAGGCAGGGGAGAGGTGCAAGGAGGGCAAGACCCAGTTCAAGGACAGCCTGGGCTGTGGAGGGAGACTGTCTCAAAAAGAAAAAAAAGGCTCTTTCCCCTGAGAAACTCCTTCTTACCACGCGCGCGCGCACACACACACACACACACACACACACACACACACGGGCATCCCACAGAAGGCCTACACCCTACCGACCCACACCTCAAATTGTCCTCTTAATTTGAAATTTGTCTGTGAATGCTTATGAAATCTTGACGTAGGAAAGTCTATCCTAGGCCTTCCCCAAAGCCAGAAACTATCCAAGGCATCTGACTGATTCAACTACAGAAACATGCAAAACTTGTGCAGAGCGACCAAAAACCACTACAGCCAAGGTCAAAGGAGCCAGCACGTTGGGAGTCATCCGGGCAATCCACAGGGACATACAGCAGTGAGGGGATGAAATCCTTACCGGCCAAAGTGCTCAGAATCCATAAGCAAAAGACACACAACCCAAAAGGAAAAATTAAAAATGGGCCAGGACACAGGCAATTCTCCAAATGGTCTATAAGAAAACGGAGAGATGTTCCACATCAGCATGCGTAAAAAAATTAAAAACAAAGCGACAGAAAGGCTCGTTTTACCGATCAGATCGTGCAAGACCAGTCGGCTGGCAGGATTCGGGGCTGGAAAGAAGGTAGGAAAGGCAGGCCATTCACTGCAGGTTGAACCGGCCCAAGCTGGATCTGCGTTTCCGGAGAGCATTTGGCAAGAGGCGCCCTGGCAGGCTGTCTTCTAGGAATCCTTTCTGGCCAAATGCTCGGAGCCACTCCAAGGCCACATCAGTGTGTCACAGCACCGGTATTAAGACTGCTGGGGAACATGCCACATATTAACAGTCCACACTGCTGCGTGGTGACGCCGTTCGATCAACACCCCGAGTCTTGCCGATGAATATTATTATAAGGAGAAAAAACTTACTGAAAAAAATTCACTGAGGCATGAAAACGTTTTGATGGGTTTCTTGACCCCGAGATTTTCCCCCGAGTTCCCCAAGGCTGGTAAGGACTAGAAAACACGTCCTTTAATAGGAGGGGGGTCTCCGCTTCGGATCCTGTCAGATCTCAGCTTTCACAGCAGGACAGAAACCCTCTCCTCTGCCCCAGGGTGGCCTGGCTCCTTTCCGGCCCGCACCAGCAGCCCTCGGGGCACCGCAAGCAAGCCAGGCACAAACAAAACGGGCAAGACCTCCAAGGCACACGGTCAGGGAACAGCAGAGAAAATCACCACCTTCACCGCGGGAGCGGGGCGTGCTCCTAGAAGACGGGGTCCCCAAGTGCTCCCCGGGGGTTCTCCAGCCTCCACTCGCCGAGCCCCCGCGTGACCCTGGGCCGGAGCTGGACCCTCTCTCAGCCTCAGGGTCCTCATCGTTAAGTGTGGGGTGCGGTTCCAGAGGACTAAGGCGTCAAGCACTCGGCAAGCCCCACGCAGATGGGGGGGGCCGCTTCCAGCACATGCAGCCCCGGCTCAACCGCGGACTCCGAGCAAACTTGGGCGAGGAAGGCG